AACTAACATATTAAAAATATAGTGTATCCAAACAATTATTACAAACAGAATACCCACCCACATGCAAAAACAAACCTTTTTCTTTTCTTGTGACAACAGCGCCTCCTAAAGGAAGAAATGCATCTTGTTCTTGCATGGGCGAGTTCAGTTGGTAACCTAGGACTTGCTTGTCCTCAGTGCACAGAAATTAGATCAATCTGATACCAAACATATTTTTTAGAAATGATGCGGAAAATATTTGAACACCTTGTCTTAAAATATTTTATTAATCGTGTTAAAATAAAATGTTCCATAAGCGTTTTTCTTTTCTTTTCTTTTTCCAATTTTTCGGAAAAAAAAAAAAAAAGGCTTCAGGAAAAAAACGTGGGGAACCCCCCCCCCCCCGAATTTTTCCGGTTTTTTCCCATTGGATTTTTTTTTTTACATCGTCGAGGGCCATGCCATTCACCGACACCTTTCCTGGTGCCCGCAAAGTGTTTTTTAAAAAGAGGGGAGGGCTTTTATCCAGCAAGCTTTCTTGAATGGCTGTGCAGATTTTTAAAATCTTTGCCACCAAAGCACAAGGATCTTCGCAGTGTGATTCTAGGTGAGCTGCGGCAACCATTTTCTGGCTAGCTCCGCCTCCCACGGCAGCCATTTTGTGTCTGTGGCCACCATGCCGTGTCAGAATTCCAAAGGTGCTCTCAGGCTCAGAAAGGTTGGGGGACCCCTAGTCTGAGCTCTTTGGGGCCCCAGACAACGTTCCCTCTAAGCTTGAGTGAGTGTGAGCTAGCTCACAGTTTCCTAGCCTCCGGCTCACACATTGTCTGTCTTCGCTCAGGAAGGAGGGCTCCAGGCAAACTAATTGATGCAGTAACCCAATCACTCGCTCACAACTTTTAATGCCAGTAGCTCACAAAGTAGAATTTTTGCTCACAAGGCCACAGCTTAGAGGGAGCATTGGTCCCAGGTGGAAGAAACTTTCAGTAAATATGTCTCAAGGGCTTGCCACTCCAGAGAATAAGTTTCCCGAGGTTGGAAGGACAATGCAAGTCTCACAGACCTAAGCAAGTCGAATGTGACTGGCGATCTGGGGCGTTTCGTGCCCATCGCGCCTACTTTTAGAGAGCAAAAGGGGCAGGGGTTAACCGCTTCCGCCTTGTCGCACGCAGACTACACAATCCTGGACTGCATCTACAACGAGGCCCAGCAGACGTACTACGTCCTGGACGTGATGTGTTGGCGGGGACACCCCGTCTACGACTGCCAGGTACCACCTCCCCCACTTTGGCCCCCTGACTGCCAGCGTGGCCTAGTGGTTATAGCGCTAGGATCGGCGAGATATGGGTTCGAATCCCCTCACTGCCATGACGCCGGTTGGGCTGACCTTGGGCCCAGTCCCCCCTCTCTTAGCCTGATTTACCTCGCAGGGTCAGTGTGAGGAAACCACAGAGAAGGGAGAGGCGTGTACACTCCTGGGAGGAAAGAGGAGCTTAAGGACGTACTAAATAAGTGCACACAAGGCTGCTCCTCCCTCACCAATGGGCCAGTTTGGTGTCGTGGTTAGGAGCGCAGACTCTAATCTGGGAGAACCGGGTTTGATTCCCCTCTCCTCCACATGCAGCTGCTGGTGTGACCTTGGGTCAGTCACAAGTTCTCTCGGAGCTGTTCTCTCAGGAGCAGTCCTCGAAAGAGCTCTCTCAGCCCCGCCTTCCTCACAGGGTGTCTGTTGTGGGGAGGGGAAGGGGAAGGAGATTGTGAGCCGCTCTGAGACTCCTTCGGGTAGTGAAGGGCCATGGGGTATAAATCCAACCTATTCTTCTTCTCTCTGCAGACAGATTTCAGGTTTTACTGGCTTCGTTCCAAAATGGAGGAGCAAGAGGGTCTGGAAGAGAAAAGTCGGCTGAATCCGGTAAGTCTTTCCCCTCCCCCCCACCAAAGTACACAACATTTTAATTTTTATTCGGGAAGAAATGACTTTGCCTTCTACCTGGCGTTCCTGGATGCGGACGTGTCCTCCGGGAGTGTAGCGTCTTCCTCGGACCGCAAGCGTGAACCTTTTAAAAGATTAAATAGATGTTGATTCTTCCTTCTTTAGAAGCCGGTGAAAGTCAGGGCCTCTGCCTGGGGTATCGCTGACTGCGGTGTTTGATTTAACCTTCCTGTTTTAAAAAACAAAATGCAGACGTAAAGAGAAACCAGCCATGTACCCCTCCAGGGATGGCTTTCTTTCCGGCAGATATTCTGCTTGCAAAGGTGTGTGTGTGTAACAAACCTTATCTGACTTCCAGGTTCGTGTAGTGGTTAAGTGCGCGGACTCTAATCTGGGAGAACTGGGTTTGATTGCCCACTCCTCCACTTCAAGCTGCTGGTATGACCCTGGGCAAGCCATAGTTCTGTCAGAGCTGTTCTCTCAAGAGCAGTCCTCGAAAGAGCTCTCTCAGCCCCGCCTCCCTCACAGGGTGTCTGTTGTGAGGAGTGGGAGGGGAAGGAGATTGTAAGCCGCTCTGAGACTCCAAGTGAAGGGTGGGGTATAAATTTATTTATTTTTCGTATTTATACCCCGCCCTCCCCAATGGGCTCAGGGCGGCTTACAGGGGCAAGACAACCTTGCCATAATAAAACAATAATATACATAATAATTTAAAAACATATAATACATCTTAAAAATCCTAGTTGAACAAAGTGCTCAGTGACTTCCATGATCTAGGAGTATAGGGGGGGGGGGGGGGCGGCTCCTACTCAAAAGCCTGGCGGAAGAGCTCCGTCTTGCAGGCCCTGCGGAACTGCACAAGATTCCGCAGGGCCCGGATCTCCCCTGGGAGCTCGTTCCACCAGGTAAGAGCCGCCACCGAAAAAGCCCTGGTCCCAGTAGCGGCTAGTTTGACATCCTTGGGGCCCGGGATAACTAATAAGTTTTGTGCCCCTGACCATAGTGCTCTTGGGGGAACATACGGGGAAAGGCGGTCCAATCTCCTCCTCCTCCTCTTCTCCTTCTTCTGCTGCTGCTGCTGCTGCTGTTGTTTGGGAGACCATCAGTGTACATGGATCTAAATTCAACTAATTCCCCCCCCCCTTTTTTTTTTCTAGTTTAAGTTCGTGAGCCTGCAGAATTACTCCTGCACCAACGAAAGCCTGTGTGAAGTTCTGGCCACAGATTTCCCCTTTGAGGTAAGCAACCTTCGCACCCTGATTTGTGAGGCCTCTCCCAACCAGTGTTCCCTCTAAGCAGAGTCAGTGTGAGCCAGCTCACAGGACGTGGCTCCAGAGCAAACTGTTTTCTGCAGTAGCCAAATCGCTCGCAACTCTGATGCCAGGAGCTCACAAAGCAGAATTTTTGCTTAGAGGGAGCATTGGTCCCAGTAGAGGAGAACTTCTCTTGCTCAGAGAGGCAAGCGACCCCATGCGAAGCAAGCATGTTGCTTCCATTCTGTAGACGCTCCATTGACTGCCCGTTTGTTACTGGGTCCAGTTTAAGTTTGAGCTGCGGTGGCTCAAGTGGTTAAGACGCTGAACTGCAGGCTGTGGAAGGTCAGTAGTTCAGCAGTTCGAGACCCGAGTGTGCCGCGTGACGGAGTGAGCTCCCGTCTCTAGTTCCGGCTCCTGCCAACCTAGCAGTTCGAAAGCAAGAAATTGCAAGTAGATAAATAGGTACCACTTCGGTAGGAAGGGAACAGCGTTCCGTGCGCCTTGGTGTTTAGTCCTGCCGGCCACATGACCACGGAAACGTCTTCAGACAGCGCTGGCTCTTCGGCTTTGAAACGGAGATGAGCACCGCAACCCTAGAGTCGGATTCGACTGGCTTTCGAGCAAGGGAACCTTTACCTTTTACCAGTTTAAGGTATTGGCTGTCGTTATCTGCTTGACAAGGAGACCTGTCTAACTCCAGAAGCTGGGTGTGCGCTGTGGTGTCAGTTGGTTTTGCCATCTCCGGAAAAAATGGGGCACGTGAATCAGTTTGAGCAAAAATGAGTGCCGGGGGGGTGGGGGGGGGGGGGGGGGGGGGAGCTGGCGCGAAGTTCGTCCCACTGTTAAAAAGGGTTATGGGACCTGTCTGCGTCCATTTTAATTTCTGGCCCAGATGGCGGTAGTTCTTTGCTGTTCCCACTAGAGGGAGCCCCATCCGATCGTGACTGGTTTGCGAGGGATGGTTTGTGAGAGGAATAAATGGCTGGGTTGCCAACCTCCAGGTGGGGGATTGGAGATCTCTGAGAATTACAACTGATCTGCAGATGACAGAGTCCAGTTCCCCTGGAGGAAATGGCTGCTTTGGAGGGTGGGCTCTCTGGCATTGCACCCCACTGAACTCCCTGGTCCTGCTCTTGTTTTTGAGCAAAACTCAATGATTTGAGGCTGGTTTTACCATAGAGTTTTGCCCAAATCCAAGTGCAGTGCTCCGCCCCACTGCCGGGAAGTTCCCTCCCACCCAC